AGTGTACTTCCACAAAGCTGAAGTATCTGCAGCAGTCCCTTGTTTGTAAGTTGTTTACAGTATCTCATGTTCAGGTTTTCTAAACAAGGCAGGGTTCCCTTGTATTCAGACAGATTCTCTCCAGTTATATTTGTGTCCACTATATTCAGGTATCTAAGTGTACTTCCACAAAGCTGTAGTATCTGCAGTAGTCCTTTGTTTGTGAGTTGAAAACAGCGACTCAATGTCAGGTTCTCTAAACAAGGCAGGGTTCCCTTGTATTCAGACAGATTTGCTCCTGTTATATTTGTACACTCAATTTCCAGGGATCTAAGTGTACTTCCACAAACCTGAAGTATCTGCAGTAGTCCTTTATCTGTGAGGTGTCTACAGTAACTCATGTTTAGGTTCTCTAAACAAGGCAGGGTTCCCTTGTATTCAGACAGACAGATTCTCTCCAGTTATTTCTGTTTTTAATAAATTAAGGGATCTAAGTGTTCTTCCACAGAGCTGAAGTATCTGCAGTAGTCCTTTGTTTGTGAGTTGTGTACAGTAACTCATGTTCAGGATCTCTAAACAAGGCAGGATTCCCTTGTATTCAGACAGATCCTCTCCAGTTATATTTTTTAATGATATATCCAGGGATCTAAGTGTACTTCCACAAAATTGCAGTATCTGCAGCAATCCATTTGACGTGAATTCACTTCCAAGTTGAAACATAGTTCCAAATTCTCCTCTTCGAAGTTTAAACATGAGAATTTCAGGATGTTTCTTCACAAGATACTTAACACCATCATCTGTACCATCACGTACTTCAAAACCTGGAAAATGTAATGTGATGAAATTAAAAAAGATGTTTAATCCAGTTTTATTTCATTTACCTATAACTGTTTTAACTTCATCAGCAAACTTGATTAGCTGATCCGTTGTAAACTTGGCAGAAAACCTCCAATAATGAACCATTTTATCCCCACATCCTTCCACTCTGTTCTTGAGAGTAGAGGACACTCCCCTCAGCATCTTCTTACTCCTGTAATCCAGGAACTGCAAAATGTATATCATAGAATGTTGAAAGGAAAGCGAATAAGTATAATGTTTGTCAAATTATTTTTTTAATATCGCGGATATTAATGATTAGACAGATGTTTAGGGGCTCCATTGCTTATCAGACATGCTAATTTAGAAATAGAAGGGATACTTAAAATTACAAGATCCTTTAAGTCCATTAAAGAATGAAAAGATTGTACCTGAAGAATATGCCTGATTATTTCAGTACACATATTGTCCAGTGCAGGAACCCTTGGTAGGGTCAGTACACTTATCAGAGGGAGAAACGAAGTAATCATCTTTCCATTATCTCTGCTTACTTCAGGTTCACACCTACTAGATATCTTCTCTTCTTTATCCATGGTTATCCTGAAGGAATAAGATATTTACTTATTTTGAAATGGTTAGGTTTCAAACCATAAAAATATCTTTTTAAATTCTTGTTGAGAGACGTCACCTAAGATAAGTTAGGATAGACATTTTGGCAAAAGAATATGCATAAGATGCTGAAAAGAAGCGCTATGGATTAGACTGCGGCTTTAAATCCAGTTTAAGAAATCATATTCAGAAGTTTAAAATATCTATTGCCATATTTGAATTTGGCAAAGAAACGGAAAAATTAAAATCATCTGAAACATTTATTTCAAATAATTTCAAGATAAATGGAATCAAAATGTAAGAATAAATAAATGAACAAAATACTAGTGTCTTGTTTGTCTCTGACAAAATAATTTAAAATTAAGGCATTAAAAATTCGCCACTTAGTTTTCAACATTATTTCCAAACTTAATGCTAACGATATTATAATCTAAGATATTATAATCTAATTAGCAGGACATAAACCTGCTTACAGCATGATATCAAAATTTAACTAACTTAAAAAATATTTCAATACAACACTATGTGATCTAGGAAATGAGTTTTTTACGCGAAAATGAAGAAAATTTTGTAATGCAACATTATGGTTAAAAGAAGTATTTAAATTTTTTTTTAAATAAAAAAAAGGTTTTTCATGAATTTAAGATTTTAACAAATCAAATCGAATTTGTTTTAGAATTTTTTCTTGATATTTTCCCTTTCGAGATAAAAATGTTTAATATAAATTTAAAATTATTACTGCATAGCGGATGCTCGGTGCTGCATAGCACATCTGTGAGGCTCATGGCGGCCGGAGGATCCCTCACTATTTAGAGCAGATGAAACATTTTCGTAGTTTGAAACGTATACCTTACCTTCACGTCGTGAGAAAAATGTGGCAAGCTAACAACTCTCTACATTTTGAAGAAAAAAATAATGTTAACACAAAAAATTAAAACAAAATAGTATTCGAACTTCTGTTATTATAATTATACATACATTTATATTCACTATTCATCACAGCCTTTAAGTTATAATTAAATAATTTTAATCATTCAAAATAATAACTTTCAAAATTTAGAAATAAAACGGAAGTAGGGCTTTATGTTGCTTTATGTTATATACAACTTGACTGACATAGAACAGAATTAATTATTTTACAAAAATAGATTATAGAATATTACATAATTACAAACGTAAAAGATAATGCTTGCTAACAAAGAATTGAATATATTGAAATTAAACCATTGTGTTAATACTGGAAAATTTGGGGATATCGAAAAGTACATTAACCTAACATTATCAGCAGGAAATACAAAGTTGATTAGAAAGAATGATTATCGAACTAGAAAAACGATAAACAAAACTTGCAACCAGTGCTTAGGATTCGGATCCAAGGGGTAAAATATCAACCAAAAACTGCAAAAAAAACGTTCTTACCATACAACCAAAATCTGAACTTTTGAAAAAAGAGAGATTATAAAAATTTCCTCATTTCTGAATGGTTCATCAAGTTTTAGGATGAAAATATGCGAAAAAAAAACACAAAAAATTTGAAAATTATTGTTTGTAAAAAAATTCAGTGAATCTTAAAGAAATGATCATGATCTGGATCCATATCAAAATTAAATGGATCCTAAGCACTGCTTGCAACACTAAAGAAGATTTGGAAAATAAAATAATGATACAGATAATACAAGACACAAAGAAATTAATAATAATTGATAATCCGGATTTTCGATTAACCGGATCAAGCAGATTAGAATCCGGAACATAGATTGAAGTGTAGCTGTGCCGGGCCTGGATGATGATATATTTAAGAGAAGGAGAAACATGAATCTGAATGGATGCCAATGATGTACCAGGATGAATATTTGTAGTTCAGTCTCAAATCTAAAACATTGTTTAACTTAAAATACTAATTCAATAACTTCCAAGTAACTAAAAGTTGAGAATTTTATCCCCTAGTTATATTATTTTGTACTTATACAGTAGACTGAGACATATATACATTAGCTTATGTTCAGTTTCCAACTCTGTAAAAAAAACTTTAAAAATCCTCAAAATTAAAAAAGGCACCTTAGCGAATAATCCACTTGTTGAGCAGATTAGTTCCTCGATCTTCCACCTCGACCCCGACCTCCTCCTAGCCTGGAGGTCAACTCCACACGGTCATCAACTACCTAAATTATATTAATATTACTTCACTAGGTTGGAAGCCCAGGGTTGTCATAGTTAGTCCCGCCGTTTACCCGCGCGGTGTCGTTTTCCATTATTTAAGTCGACCCACTCAATTTAGAGTCTCAAAATCAAACAAAGAACATTCCCATGGGTCTCCAGAGTTCCCCAACCAAAAATTGATTTGAATGAATTCAGGCGTAAAAAATGCAAAAAAAGGTTTGATTTTTATTACTTGTTAATTGTTAAAGCTAGAGAGATCGCTAAAATGATTTCAAATAATAACGTTTAATTGATTTTAACAAGAAAAATAAAACCTTTATGGAATGGATATTTTCAAATATTCCGTCATTTAAAACTGGATTAAAATAAAACCTGAATGGTGAACTCCGCAATGTCCTTCCCTAGTCCTGACATGACAAACTGCTCCATCCTGATGAGTTTACTGCTCCACCTTCTCCTCTCCTGCTCCAACCTGTCCCTCTCTCGGAGCAGTTGCTCCCGTCTTCTACGTACACTCTCCACCTGAACCTGGAGCTCTTCAATAGTTTCCAGTTTACGTTTCCTACAGTTCTGTGCTGCAACCTTGTTCTTTCCTCGTCGTCTTATATCTTTACAGATCTTAACCTAAAACATTTAAAACTTTAAACAATGGCTTCGTACTATTTAAACGAAAACCCAAATATGTTTTCATATTCTTCTCATGTTTCGCTTTTTAAATCAACTATTAGGAAAACAGTTTTGTTATTTAAATGACCCTTCATTAAAAAAAAAGAGGGATATGTATGATTTACAGTGGTACCCTTTCAATCTCTGAGTAACAATGAGCACGCAAGATATTTTAGGTTTTCTATTTAAGAAGTGTTTAATTTTGGTTAGACCTTCCTCATTGCCTCCGGAGCATAAATGCGCAAAACCGCAGTTGAAAATAATTAATTTTGAAATATTAAAAACATGGATATCTCCATCTATTTTAATGAGACAAATGTATCAGGGGTTCCGTTGTGAATCGGTCATGCCACTCTATATATGGAAGGTCACTTGAAATTACGTCTACAGTCCCTTTTGAGAACCAAAACCTTAAAAATCGAACAAATTATTAGTATTTTTTAATCAAATCTAAGGATCCCGTTTTTAGGTAAACTTTAAACGTACCATTTCTTCAAAAGGCACTGAGTGTTTGATAATGCAACAAAATGATTATAACATAAACAGTAAAATATCTCTTAAATCTGATGGATCTAACCTGATGAGGTGAGAGGGTTGAGTCTGCTAGAATCATATTAAATCTGTCTACTGGGCAGTTTATTAATTCACGAACAGTGTAGGGAAGCCCAACCTTCGCTGCTAACTTCTCATCCCTAGTACACCTAGAATAGATACATACCACAGGTTAGGTTGGAAATATATGCAGGAGTAGGTAAGCCAGTTCTAAAGATCCGGATCCAGATCCGTTGGATCCGCAATATTTTGGCTTCCTATCCTCAAAAATATGCGGATTCAAGAATAGAAAAGGTATATGAGACAGGTTAGGTATGTAATATAAACAGGAGTAGGTAAGCCAGTGCTTAAGATCCAGATCCGTTGGATCCGCAATAATTTATTTATTTATAGGATATATCTTAAAAAGTATCAAAATAAATGAATTTGAAGAGGGGTACTTCGTGTGTAGATACAGGGTGACCCACAAAACATGACAGTTGGTGAATAGTTTAAAATGTCCTCTTCCACCTGAAGTTGTTTGATACCAAAGATGATGATAAGAAATACTAAATGGCAGTAATATTATTGTAAAATTGATTTCAAACTTGTGCATATTTGAGTAAAAGATTTGTTTAACGAAATAAACTGCAAAGAGTTTTAAATAACTAAGACAGTATCATGGAAGAAGACATTGAAAACTATTCACCAACTTTCATGTTTCGTGGGACACCCTGTAGGTACTAGGTCAGTATGAAACAACTGTGAATTAAGGTGGTGGGTAGATTTATTATTATTGTAGTTAGGTCGTTCAGAAAATTCAGAAAAGATAAAAAATAATTAAGTTAAGTCACCTGCTATCCTCACTCGAATAGTACCCAGAAGACTCACTTTCATTTCTCCTCCGACCCCCCAACCCTGACCTTAGACCTCCGTCTCCTGACTCCTTTTCTAGCTCGGACTCAAGTTTAACTCCAGGTTCAAGTTTAGCAGCAGTATAGCTCCCATGATCATTGTTAAACCCGTCCCAGCTAAAGAACGGTTGGTAGGAGAGAGAAAACTCAGGAACTCCTTTCCCAGATCTTCTTCCGTACAATGTATCCAGATCAACCTTAAACATACCTGTAATTATCTTCCAGATCAACCTTAAACATATCTGTAATTATTTTCCAGATCAACCTTAACCATATCTGTAATTATCTTCCAGATCAACCTTAAACATATCTGTTATTATTTTCCAGATCAATCTGAAACATATGTGTAATTACTTTCCAGATCAACCTTTAACATCTGTTATTATCTTCCAGATCAACCTTAAACATATCTGTAATTATTTTCCAGATCAACCTTAACCATATCTGTAATTATTTTCCAGATCAACCTTAAACGAATCTGTAATTATCTTCCAGATCAATCTTAAACAAATCTGCAATTATCTTCCAGATCAACCTTAAACATCTGTTATTATCTTCAAGATCAACCTTAACCAATCTGTTATTTTCTTCCAGATCAACCTTAAACATATCAGTAATTATCTAACAGATTAACCATAAACAACAAATAGGAGATTTTAACTATTCGGACATAGATTGGAAAAATAGAACTGCATCAGCTAAAATAAGTAAAGACTTTTTAGAACTAGTTGAGGCCAAATTTCTTAAGCAGTGCATAGATTTTCCTACTCACAATTCTGGAAAAACCTTAGATCTGGTCTTAACACAGGGAGAACTTGTCATTAGCTGTGAGAACCTAGGAAAACTTGGATCAAGTGACCACAGAATGATCCTAACTCACATAAGAGGGGAAGTACCAACAAAGAACAAAACCAGCTATTTTAGTGACTGGAAAAATGCGGACATTGTTAGTCTAAAAGAGTTCTTATGCAACATTAATTGGCAGGAAAAACTACACAACATGGACATTGAAGAAGCCTGGAATCTTTTTAAAAACAAACTATCTGAATGTATGGACAAATTTGTTCCTCAGAAGGTAAAAAAAATTGAACAATCAACCACCTTGGATGAATAGGGATTTTCTACAGCTCATCCGAAAAAAGAGAAGAGTTTGGAAGAGATACAGTAAATACAGCAGCATGGAGGACAAGACTGAGTATGAAAATATGGAAAGACAAGTAAAAAACCAAATAAGAAACACCAAAAAGAACTATGAAAGAAGACTTGCCAGAGAAATTAAAAATAATCGCAAATTGTTTTATAATTATATAAATTCTAAAAAATCTAACAGAGTGGCAGTTGGACCATTGAAGCATGAAGGAAAATTAGTAACAGATTGTGAAGAAATCTGTGATAAACTAGGTAATCACTTTGGCTCAGTATTTACTAAGGAGGAAAACTCTGACGGAAATATCAACATTGAAGACCTCACTGACCAAATATATAATAAATCATCAGCCTGGAAACCAGTTTGGTCTGGAGTGCCCCAAGGGAGTGTCCTTGGACCGTTGTGTTTTGTTATATATATAAACATACTTGACCTAGTAATTAAAGATGCCCTAACTTTTCTGTCCAAGTTTGCAGATGACTCGAAGGCTGGAAGGAAAGTTAATACAGATAAGGATAGAGAAGCACTACAATGTTCATTAAATGCATTAACTCAATGGGCACAGGACTGGAAGATGGAATTCAACGAGTCGAAATGTAAAGTTTTACACATTGGAAAGAAGAATCAAAGATATGGGTACCAAATGAATGGTGTAAATCTGGAGGTTTCAGACAAAGAGAAAGATGTTGGTGTAATGATACAGGAGGATCTTAAACCCTCTAAACAGTGTGCTACTGCTGCAGCCAAGGCGAATAGTATTTTAGGCCAGATGGCCAGATCTTTCTCCTATAGGAATAAAACTATATGGATGTCATTGTACAAAACCTATGTCAGGCCCCACTTTGAATACTGTATTCAAGCCTGGAATCCCTGGCTAGTAAAAGACAAAGAAACTCTAGAAAGGGTTCAAAAAAGAGCAATAACAATGACCTCTGGACTCTTTGGGTCAACCTATGAAGAGAAGCTGAAAGAGGTTGGTTTGATCTCCCTGGAGAACAGAAGAAAGCGAGGAGATATGATCCAAGTCTGGAAAATTCTACATGGACACGACCATGTGGACAAAAACAAATGGTTCAGCTCTGCGTATGTACCAGAAGAAGGAAGGGGTATTCAAACCAGGCAGTCAAGTGATCCTTTAAACTTGAAAATTCCAGCTGTAAAGACCGAAATATATCGAAATTTTTTTAGCACAAGATGTGTTAATATGTGGAACGAAATCCCACATGATGTGAAAAATGCAAAGAACCTGAATAGTTTCAAGAATAAACTAGATGAATGGCTAATCTACTGAATGGCCAACATAGACAAAAAAATGAGATGTTTTAATTATCACACCAGTGATACAATAACATAAATTCACCAATTAAACCAATTAAAATTAATCTAGCCTTTAATAGATCTCTGTATTATCTTCCAGATCAACCTTAAACATCTGTTATTATCTTCAAGATCAACCTTAAACATCTAGTATTTAATAGATCTCTGACTATTACATTAATCCTCTATTAAATCCAACATCCAAGTTTTGAGGCTGCAATTATATTCAGTTTGACAGTTTTCACCAAAATATTAATTGATTTTCCCAAATTCTACGAATAATACCCTATAAGATATTTAAAATTTTTGGGGATGAAAATAGTTTTCTTTTCCAAGAGGGGGTGGGGTAATTAATTCACCTGTGCACAAGCTCCTCCGGAAAGTTGAAGGGAGGTTTGGAACTCCTCCGAGGAAACCACGTCGAGGATCTCCTCATGGAGAACCTCGTCCTCGTCCTCCACCTTTATATCCTCTAGCTTGAGCTGTTCTGTGTGGATGGATTCTGGTTTACTGTATTCAGGTTCAGTTTCAAGTTTAACTTCTGCCTCAAGTATTCCACTCTCCTTCATCACCTAAACCATATTATTCATGTAGAAAGGTTTAATTAGTTCTGAGGTCGAATTTAAAGAATTCGAAACGCGTTCAAATATGAGACACGGTTCAACTTAAATTTTAATCAATGTTTCAAGATTTAAGCGACCGCGCAATTTGAACCGCGCGTTGATTGGCGTTTCAGTGACGCGGTTCAAATTCATTAAATTCGGCCTATGGGACAAAATAAAATGGAAGGAGAAATGTAGATTGAGGTGAATCACATCCAGTTCGACCACGTCTTGCTTATCGTTGAATTTGGTCCTGGGACCGAATTTAATGAATTTGAGCCGCCGCTTCAAGGGTAAAGAGTCAGGAAGGATTTGAATCAATGATTCAATTTTAAAACGGCAATTTCATTACATTCGCTCCCAGGTAATATTTAAGATAAAAGGATGTTGTATCGTCGAAATTGTCGGCGATTTTAAGATTTTTCAATCCCCATTTTGAAAAGCTAAGAAAACATCTCAAACACTTGTCTAAAAAAACTCTCCGAAAGTCGTCTTCAACTATTTAAAATTCCAACCTGAGCTATAATATCCCCCTCCAGAATTCCCTCCGCCTGTTCCAGAGCTACATCAATATTCTCCAAGGACTCCTCCGATACTCCCTCCAGAGCATCCTCCAATGATATATCGAGGATGTCCTCCTCCTCCTCACTTTTGCCTCGAATAAACGTCTCGGGCGTATAAACCTAAAACAGAATGAGTTCCTTAATCAAAATTAACAAAAATGATTGAAATTTGCTCAAAACAAACAAAAACAGGAATACACACAAATCCAGGGAGCTAACACTGCACAAAGTTTTGACAATTAAGCCGTATCATTTGAATCTGTGCTATTACCGGAAGTGCTTTGTTATTATATTTCTATTAAATATATCAGAATTAAAACATTTCTCGTCCACAATATGTGATTATACTAAACGCACTTTTATTGTGAATTTTATGTTAAATTTATTAATAAGTTCCATGTCATCAAACAACAACAAAAATGTCGATTTTTTCTTTGTAAATTGTTACAAGCTACGTTTACCTGACGATGAGCTTCTGCCGACTCGTGAGCTTTTTTCTCTTCGTCCTCTACAGGTTCAGCATTGAGATCTCCGGAGTCTCTAGCTCTGGAGAACATAACATCATTCCGGAGAATCTCATCCTCACTCAACAGCTCAGTAGAGCGGGGACTGTTCAACATATTTAGATCAAACTCATCTAATCCAGCAACTCCGAGGTTCAGACCAAGATCGTCCAGATTCTCCCTCTCCCTGGTCTCCTCCTGGATGGGGAAGAGAGGTTCTTCATTGATCGCGTCCAACTGGAGCAGGTCAGGAATAGCTGAGAACGACTCACGCTCCCAGTCATCGAAGGGATTTGGACGTTCAAATATTTCTTCGTCGAACCCTTCCATATCCTGGTCTTGGTTCATGAGGTCGTCCTCGCTAAAGGTCAGGGCGATCTCCTCGTCCATCTTGATAAAAGCCTCGTCTAGGTCTTCAATGTTGTAGTCCAGGTTCAACAGCTGTTCGTCCATGTGAAGCAGTTCGTACTGAATGGCCCCATGGTCCTCTAGTTCTGGTATACAAGCCTGGACCAGCTCAGGAGGTATCTCAGGACCGTACTCTACCCCGGCCCCGTCATCTAGATCCATCAGGTCATCCTCGTAGAACTCAGGAAACATGTCACTTGCTCCTAAAGTACTATTCACATTTCCACTCGCCAAACATTCTTCAACATCAGGCTTCCCAACTTGAGAAACATCTCGGTCAGATGTATGCATCAAACCAAAACTTTCAGGGGCATGCTCCGAACTTGAACTTTCAAATGCATACTCTGAATCTAGACTCTCCGGAGTAAGCTCAGAACCTGGACTCCCAGGAACATGATCAGACCCAGAGCTGAAAGGACTTCCCACGTTCTCAGTATCTGATATCCCAGAATCTGAATCTGTCTGCTCACAATCCTAAATCAAAATTCAATGTGGATAAAACACTTGAAGTGTCCGGGGTTAGGGTTAGTAAAAATTAAAGAAGTTAAGCCCTGGGGGGGGGGGGGGGTTAAATACCAGAAATAAGAAAGGTTTATAAGCGTAGCCTCAGCGAGAGACTATAAAGAAATGCATTCAACAACCCACCTTTAATGACTAAACCTTATCAGTGATGAACAGGAAGAGAATTGTGGGAGGGGGAGGGGGAGGGGAAAACATTAAGAAAACTCTGAAGAACAAGTGTTTCGAGGAACAAAGGTAAGTATTTAGACCAGGAAAAGAAACATTAGATAAAAATACCCAAATGAAAAACAAAGAAAGAACCATTAAAAACTCCAAAGTAGAACAGAAAAGAAAGGTTTTAACAGAGAAGAACAAAGAAGCAGAAGTATAACAAATAGAAAAAAAGACAGCAAATATTGAAACATGAAATATTAAAAAATAATTTGATGTACATGGTGTCCTAAAAAGTATTTTATGACTGTTCTACAGAATTTTACTTATAAAATTTGGTTTAAGAATAAATGCGGTAATTTATTTCAAAGATCAAGGAGATCTTCAAGTCTTGCTGATGTCATGTTTCGTGGAACAGCCTGGATAAAAAATACATGTACAAGGAACAGAAGAAGTAAAACCATAAGGATCATAGGAAGAACATGATAGGAAAGAATGGACACAAAAACACCATAATGAATATAAAAAGTGTAACTTCTTATAAAATATTGATGGTAGAAATATTATTCAAGTATTTTGAATGTAGGTGTAGGCGGTGACCCTCGTTTTAACGGCAAAAAAGGAAAGATAACGCGTACGAGAGAGGACGGGCAACCTCACCCGAACAGCTTCCGAACCTCATTTTACCCATATAAAAAACCATTCCTGGAAGACTGTTTGGGAGAGGATAGGAAGCCATATTGGGACGAGCAGTGCCATTAAGGGGTAAAATAAGGTTCGGCAGCTGTGCGATGGAGGTGGCCGTCCCACTCTCGAACAACAGACAAACTTAGAAGGGGGGGTGGAATACAATTGTTAAGGAACAGTGTTTGCCACAAGCTTGTGTTATCTTTGTGACCTTATGTAGTATAAATTTAATATTCTAAAATATTAATTCTGTTTGCTAAAATAATGTTATTTTGAAATACCAAAGGTGTGTACAGTTACACCACACGATCAGGTTTCAAAGATATAGGGATTAGAAATTTGAGGTTGTGGAAAATATCGGATGCTTTGTGAATTGAAACTTTAGATTCAACGATCATTTATAGATAAAGCAATGCAAAGGTTTTATAGACAAATCAACAAGGTAAGCTGAGAGCTGCACTGGAACATCACCATACAAGGAGAACCTGAACAGAATAATTTCAACTTTTTTCTTCTACAGGGCGAACAAGTAACTTAATCACCCTGCTATTAAAATTTTATAAGTTCATAGTTGACATTTCCCGTTGTAGGGTGATAAAGTTACTTAATCACCCTACAATAGGGTGATAAAGTTACTTTATCGACCTGCTATTAAAATAGTTGAATAAAATTGAATAAAAATATATGTTATTGTAATGGGTATCATGCGTGCGAAAAATTTGTTGCTGTGATTTTTTGCATTTTCTAATTTGTTTTCGATCAAAATAAAAGTATTTTCACACCGAAACAAAAAAATAAAAAATACCGACAAAAACTTTTAAGCACTTAATATTACCCATTACAATAACATAAATAGATATATTCTCCTTGACTAGTGTCTAGAACGGAAGAGAAAGTATCGGTCTGCGTACTGCGTCAGCGTACAGAGTGCACACCAGTGAGTCATTCGTTTAAAAACATTGAGTCACACAAAATATATACACAAAACTAACAAGACGATATCAAGATATTTGAAGAATAGTTTCCAGAGTCACACTCACACAAAATACATTTTGAAATAAATCAATGTTTAAATTAGGTACTTAACTAAATAAATATGTCAATAATTTAGATTTATATCAAAATGTGTTAATTAGACAAGATTGAAACAATCTCTGATCCTATTAACGACCGATATATGTATATTGTATAATTAAAGAAACTATATTCTGTTATTATGTGTTAATTAGACAAGATTGAAACAATCTCTGATCCTATTAACGACCGATATATGTATATTGTATAATTAAAGAAACTATATTCTGTTATTATTTTCTAGACGTCTAAACCCCCCCCCCTTCCGGCCTCCACCCGCCGCCGTCTATGAATATTTCAGTTTTTACTAAAAATACGCCAATCAACAGGTTGTTAGCTTAGCTACCTTGACACTGAGATGAAGGAGGGTGCTTTAATAGTGTTATTAATAATATAAATTGTATAACTCCGTGAATTTGTATGGGTCATACGTTCTTCAGTATGAAGTAAAATTATTAGCGATCGATATCAATTTAACTCGAAGTCAACCTATACCCCCTTTCATTTATCGCAAACACTTCCTTTAAACCCTTAATCTGATCAATGGTGTGGAAGCATTTGTCGCTTTTCTAGGTTTATACTTCGCAAAGAAATCACAATTGACAATAATCAGTATTTAAGATTACAAACATTGACATCTAATTCATGATCAGACAAAGCGTTTAGGGTACCGTTGTGAAACGAGCATTGCTAAATTTGCAAAGTGTCGCTTTAAATTAGACTAACAGTCCCCTGTGTAACATAAGGTAGGATGTCTGACATTAAAACAAACTGAAACCTGCCGGACACGGGCAACGCTGAGTATTTCTGTTGATTGGATTATTCTATACCTGTTGAAAGTGCCGAGTGTGTTGAGTTCCTCTAGTATATCCTCCTGGTACCTCGCTAGCAGGCTGCTCGGGTCCTTCAGGGGGTAGGAGGGAAGGATGGGCTGCCACGCCTCCCCTAATAATACTCCGCCCCCTGAGTCCTGACCATTGGACCGGTTCAAGCCGAAATAGCTATTAGGGTCAACCTGGACAGGAATTGAGTCTTTGCCACAAACTCAAGTTTTCAAATATTATATCTTTGCAACCTGATGATGTAAACCGTTAATATTCATATATATTTAAGGTCTAGGACATTTGGTTTCAAAGATATAGGGACGAGAAAATTCGAGTTTGTGACAAAGACTCGTTTTTCAAAAGGTTAAAAATATTTTTTTAAATTGAGGTTAAAAGAAAAAATTCAGAGACTCAATAAATTGAGACCGGAACTTTTGAACGATAGATTTTAGGCATCATCAGAATGAACGAATTAGTTTAATTTATAACCGATCTAAATTAGTTCTGTCCTTTCTCTTATCTCTGCCAAATAATGTTAAGAATAAAATAAAAACCTCAAGTATTTTTAAACCTATTTATAACGATAGCTCATTTTAAATATATAAAATCTTACTAAATTAATGATATTCACCTTAAGTAGGCTGATAATAAGGGCAAGCTGCAGTAAATCTTGATTGATCAACTTCTTAAAACTTCTCATTTTTATAACTATTTTTTTCATCGACAATGAAAAGCACTCGAAGTTGAATGTAAGCTTGTAAAGCTGTTTCTGTGTCTATGGTTTTCTGTTGACTGACTCCTAATGTCTAGTTGTCTATGAAAGGAAGGATCGGGTAGAGTGCGGCGACCAGACTCGCAATGTCATAAGAAATTTATCCATCCTTTCCTTCACATTCTCATTTAGAGTTCTTATCCGTCTACGCTAGCAGGATATATCCTGGAATATGGATTTTTCACTTTTTCTCCCCGAATTAGGAAATATATTCGTCTTTGTATCCGAACAAAGAAGACTCTACCCTGTGACCCACAATCTGAAAGAAAGAAAACATGAGATAAAGAAATATTTACAAGTCTAGGGGAAAATACATTCCCCGTTCTGTAACCCCTTTATCAGATGCACATTGCATATCTAATATATCTTAAAGCAAAAAACAAGATGCATTGATATCTAGGTTACAAACAAAGAATATCAAAATTTGCACATCAGTGGACAGTGCACAGTGGACACGACACAGCAATGCACAATATTAATAATCGAAGCACTACCATAAGAAACTAAAGTGAAATTAACAGTGCACGGTGGTAATGCTGCAAAATAATGCATGGGGTTTACAAGTAAAGCACAGTACAGTTCAACATTTCATAAGCATTTGTAGATCTGCAAAATAAGGCATTGTATATTGTATACCACTTAGCATCAATTCATTACAATCAAATTTCAAGCACTGCGAAGTAATGAAATAAAGTAACATGAAACGCATGAAAATTAACTTCGTAACCCTGCAATGTAGCAATATTAGCACTGATGTTAAGCTTGTAATTGCATACTTAAACTGAAATTAACTTCACTAAATTGCCCTGCTGTGGCCCTAAAAAGTAAAGCTTCTTTAAAAAAATGTAAAATATATTTATAACTCAATTTTTCACATTCCTAAAAACAGTTTGACAGATTCCTAATTATTTTCTTTTTGTCTCTGAATATTCATATAAAAAGTAAGGAGGACGTTTAACCGAGGTTAACCTTTAGAAACAGGGTGAACGGTCTTTAACCTACACTTCAGCCTCGCAACAGAATAATTAAGTCTCAACGGAACAGTAAGTCTAGAGGAAGATCTGATAAATATTAAAAACCAAGTTCAAAGTGTACTGCTTTTTGGTCCAAAGAATGATTTAACCCTTAAAATTAAATAAAATTTAATAACGACAACGTCGTTATATCCTGTAATCGGCAAAAGCTTTGCCAAAAAATTACGCAAGCCTGTAAACTGCACAGTTGCGACTTGCGTCTCACAAAAGGAAAGCATTTGAAATTACGCATTTAATCAATTGTACGCATTATTCTTTCTTTTTTACTTGAATAGTTTATACACATAGTTTATATGTTGAATTTAAAAAATTGCAAAAAAAATCCATTGATTAATATTGCAAACAATGTTTCCTTGTCTAAAGTTGGAGGGGTTGGAAAGGGTTGACTAAGCTTAAAATTAAAGCAATTATTAGTTTTTACATCGTACATTCAAACAATTGGGGGCTGTATAGAGGATTCAAATTTAAAAATTAATGTAAATACACAACACAGTGCACACTACAGAGAGGCAGGGGCAGGGGTATATTTCTAATTTTTTAACATTCAACTCTACAATTGATAAAAGGCGCAAATAACATGAAAGTTATGAGTTCAAACAATTATTCCAAATAAACTTAGGATGAGCAATATGTTTATTCATTGTTTTTCAAGGTTTATTGTAATCTGAACAAATTTATCATATTGAAACTCTAAATAAAACTTAAAGTATATAATTTAAAGGGGGAAATAAAAAAAATGGGTCGAGGGCAGAAAGAAAATTGTATTAGAACTCAATTATTTCTACAGAATATTAAAAAGAAACTTCAAAACAAAGAACATATTCCTACGATAATATTTCAAAACTTCAAGAGTCAAGAAAATGTTCTTTCTTTCTCTTTGTAAGGTCCAAAGCGATGTATTTAAGTATGCAGAAGATGCACTTTTTACCATCTCTTTGTTTCAGGGCCCGAGTGAGGCCTGCCTACCCCCACACACAAGGAGAAAACCAGTAAAAACATTAACCAACACTTTTATACTCACGTTTATAATAAATATTTCTCCGGCAAACTGATACTATAGTGTGTAAACTTCACGATAAAGTTAGGCTTATTTCATTCTATATGTTTTCTGTTAACTATGCTTACAAAGAAAGAGCTGTCAGGCAGTGCAGGGCAGAGGGAGGTATACGTGTAACTGATTCAGTACCGGTGTCCGGTACACCCAGAAGGAGGGGGGGGGGTGTTGCAATATTATATTTAGTACCGGAAAGACGGGAGGGGGGCAGGTGTGCTTGATAAAGGGAGTACTTAACTTGAGGTGGAGGGATGATGAGTACGGGTAAAAAATGTACTTTCATAACGTATATAACATTTTTAACAATCTTTGATTATGTAAATCTACTTATTATCCAACCCAGCTAGTTTTAGATTTTCTTCAGTCAACTTTCTTAAGAAAGGTGTGTTCATGATGTTCATTATTAAAATCCAACAATTCGAAGGTTATATTTTACGGAATAGTGAAATTCAAGTTCAATGAAGAAAAAAACAGATGAAACGAAACAAGAGATACGAAAAGTGCTTGAGAGGGGTGTAGGAGAGGAAACGAAAGAAGCCTATAAAGCAATTATCTGCTGCAGTAAGCTGAAACTGTAGAATGTTTCATCATCCTACAGAGGGTAGAATGTTCTGGAAAAAAACGACTGAATATACTTCACAATATTTTATTATTTAAAAACCATTCTGTAAAGTTTAAATTTGCTTTCGTAAAAAAATATTCATTACGAAAATTTGTGAAGTATAAACAACATTATCTTCCTGTGGAGAACGTACACTGTAACACCCCCAAACATATCGTATCATGAACCCATGAACAAACAAGCATTCAACATTTTAACATGTTTCAGAATACGGAGGCGTTGAATTTCTGCCAATAAAATTCAAATTGTTAAATAATTCTTGTCCTCAATTCTGTACCTTCTCCCAATCCATAAATTTATAATTTCTGATATCCAAATATTTTAAGATTCAATTATAATCTGTAATCTGTGCTATATCCTCTATTAACTTTCAGTTCTAATCTGTGAAATCTGCAATTAACTATACATTATAATCTGTGAAATCTCCAATTAACTATCAAATATAATCTGTGTAATATCCATTAACTATCAATTCTGATCTGTGCAATCTCCAATTAACTATCGATGATTAACTGTGAAATCTATTAACTATCAAATCTAATCTCTGCAATCTACAATAAACTATCAAACCTGATCTGTGCGATCTCCAATTAACTATCAATTCTAATCTGTGCAATCTCTTTTAATATCGATGGAAATCTGTGCAATCTTAAATTAAGTTTCAAATCTAATCTGTGCAATCTTCAATTAACTATCGATGAAAAAATGTGAAATCTCCAATAAACCATCATAACTTTTGCAATCTGTGCAATCTCCAATTAACTATCAATTCTGGTCTGTGCAATCTACAATTAACAATAAATTATAATCTGTGAAATCTCCAATTAACTATCAAATATAATCTGTGCTATCTTCATTTGACTTATCAATTCTAATCTGTGAAATCTCAAATTAACTATCAAATATAATCTGTGCAATCTACAATAACTATCAAATCTAATCTGTGAAATCTCAAATTAACTATCAAATCTAATCTGTGCAATCTTCATTAATATATATTAAATTCTGTGAAATTTCAAATTAACTATCAAACATAATCAGCGCAATCTTCAATTAACTATAAATTATAATCTGATATCTCAAATTAACAATCAATTCTAATCTGTGCAATCTCCAATTAACTATCAAATCTAATTTATGAAATCTACTTTCAATTATCAATTTTAATCTGTGCAATCTCCAATTCATATCGATGATAATCTGTGCAATCTTCAATTAAATATCAAATCTAATCTTTGCAATCTTCAATTAACTATCGATGATAAAATTTGCAATCTCCATTAACTATCAAATCTAATCTATGAAATCTACTATCAATTATCAATTTTAATCTGTGCAATCTCCAATAAAAATAGCGATGATAATCTGTGCAATCTTCAATTAAATATTAAATCTAATCTTTGCAATCTTCAATTGACTATCTATGATAAAATGTGAAATCTCCAATTAACTGTTATTCTAATCTGTGAAATCTCCAATTAACTATCAATTCTAATCTGTGCAATCTCCATTTAATCTGGGCATTTTCGAATTAACTACCGATGATAATCTGTGCCATCTCCATTAATATCTAATCTAATCTGTGCAATCTCCAATAAACTATCCAATATAATCTGTGCAATCTCCATTAACTAACAAATCTAATCTGTGCGATCGACAATCAACTATCAATTCTAATCTGTACAATCTCCATTACCTATCAAATTTAATCTGTGCAATCTACAATCAACTATCAATTCTAATCTGTGCAATCTCCAATTAACTATTGATGATTATCTGTGCAATCTATTAACTATCAAATCTAATCTGTGCAATCTACAATCAACTATCAAAAATAATCTGTGCAATCTCCAATTAACTATCAAAACAAATCTGTGCAATCTCCAATTAACTATCGATCATAATCTGTGCAATCTCCATCAACTATCGATGATTATCTGTACAATCTTCAATTAACTATCAATTCTAATCTGTGCAATTTGCAATTAACTATCGATTCTAATCTGTGAAATCTTCAATTAACTATCAATAATAATCCGTCAAATCTTCAATTAACTATCAATAATAATCCGGGAAATCTTCAATTGACTATCAATTCTAATCTGTGCAATTTGCAATTAACTATCAATTCTAATCTGTGCAATCTCCAATTAACTATCAATCCTAATCTGCGAAATCTTCAATTAACTATCAATAATAATCCGGGAAATCTTCAATTAACTATCAATTCTAATCTGTGCAATCTCCAATTAACTATCTATTCTAATCTGTGCAATTTCCAATTAACTATGCCAATAGATGTATGCAGGGGTGTATATTTTTCTGTTTCCTTCCCCCCCCGGGGGGAGGGAAAAATATGAGCTTTCATTGGGTGAAAAAAATTAAGAAAAGGGGAAGCGGAAAAGGAAAAAGGGAAGGGGAAAGAGAAAGAAAAGGGAAAAAGGAAGGGAAAAGGGAAGGGAAAAGGGAAGGGGAAAAGGGAAGAGAAATAGGAAGAGAAAAGGGGGAAAAGGGGAAGAAGGAAGGGAAAAATAGGAAGAGGAAGGAAAAGGGGAAGAGCGAAGGAAAAAGGGGAAGAGGGAAGAGAAAATGGGCAAAAGGTAAGTGAAAAAACCACACAAAAAAAAAATCAAAAAACAGTATCAGAAATGATGCTTCAAAAAAACTCAAGGGGGACCTTGAAGTTGCCCTTTTTAAGGCACCAAAACGCTCCGCAACAAATTTTTTCGAAATTTGTGCGGGCTTCAGAAAACTGTAAAATATACCTGTTTTTTAAGTTGTGGATTTGGGGAAAAAATATGATTCCGGAAAAAGGGGGGGGGGAATACGAGTCTCACAACTAATATACACCCCTTGATATATGTTTAAATATAGTCCAAATGTGCCTTTATAAGTTTCGTATGTCAAGTTTCTTAATTAATAAATAGAGCTAAAGCTGATCGAGTTGTTCAGAAAACATTTAAGAATTGAAGGAAAATGGTATAATGTTACGATAAGAAGTTGAAGAATGACTTTGTTATTTTTTCATTGAAAAAGGAAACATTTTTATTTGTTAATTTAAATCCATTATTCCTCATTCTACCATCTATTTCATGTTATAAAAAGGATTGTATTTGTTAAAAAGAAAAGGTTCTGAAAATTAAAATTAAAAGTGAAACTATTAAATTTCAAAACAATTAATCGAAGTTTCTAGTATTTAATGTTTTACAGTGTGAGACGAAACATAAGTACATAAATAAGTTTCCATTTTCCATTTAAATATGTTTTTTCGTTCTTCATTTCAACCCGGTTTATTTCGCTTTTATTTCACAGTGATCTTTTCATTGGAATTTCAAAACAATTTATTTCTCCGTCAAACAAATACTACTTCCTTTGTCATTACTAACGAAAAGTTGTGATTTCTGAAGAAAAAACTAATATTTCAGTCATAATGCGAGGGGGTGGAAACGAGCATTTTCTTCATTTTTCTGGAGAAATTAGAAAAATTATGAATTTGATCTATGGATGCCGGCCTACCTGTTTTGTGGTGAATATTTACTCAAATCATTTTTAATCATTTTCCCTGGAACAAAATATCTAATTTTACATGGTTAGTTTCAGTTGATAAATACGATTAAAGATGTTGAATATGATTATGAAATCACTGATCATGGAACAACGTTCACAAATATATATTTCCACCCATCCACGCGAATGCAAGCAGTTGAGTTGCATGAGCGCTCACACTTATTATTGTCTCTAAGAGAAGAGCTGGTTTATGTAAGCTTCTTAGCGGCCTGGTATAGTCGGTCAACAACCTATATTAAGAACAATATTTAACAAATATAAAAACTATTGACATATTTTAAGATGAGATATTTGTATATCTATTAGCTATAGCTGGCCAAACTGATTTTATTTCCTTCAAATTTTTATTTAATTAACATATTTCTTTTTTACGGGTAACGCCGGGAACTTTAATACTTAAATAAAATAATATTTTGATCCGTAGCAAAATATTTTGTTGACCTTACTAATATGATTTAGCTATTTTAATAAAAATATTGTTCCTTGTTCATAGCATCAATAGTTTCAATGACGTCATCACATGTTGTATCTCTGGTTTCCGGGGTGAATACAACCAGGACTCCAGTCTCCTAAAAATATTATTGTTCTGTTAATTTCACCGCTGTTTCACCAACATTACCGACCCATGATTACCCCAGCAACGGGAGCTAAAGTTACTTAACTTTCCCTTGGGCAATCTATTAAAATAAAGAATCTTCAACTCGGCAAAGTGTTCGTGAAAAAATTTTCATCTTTTAAGACGATACAATTGGGTAAAACTGCATTTCGGGAAATTAAAAAATTTACTTAACCAAGGGTTCTTTGGTCTACCTAATATTTTTTGATAAAATATACACCGGGACACCCCTGGGGTTATTAAACCCTACCTGATCTAGAATTCCTAAAAACTTCTTGTCTAGGATCATTTGACTAAGTTTCTTCTCAACTTGGTCCTTAGGAAGACCAATCTTCCCTGCCACGTAGTCCACCTGTACTCGGCTATACGGTTCAATAATCCTGAAAATAGGATGGATGGTTTCCAGGCAATATTGGTCTCAGAAACCTTTGTTGTAAAGAAAATTTCAAAACTCCTACGATAGAATACATTGATAGTTATGATTTCCGGGAGGGGAAATGGATTCCAGCCACGGTCTCTCTTCTAGACTCCCCCAAACATTGTTTTAAATTTCCGTGACAGAAACAATCCAAAGAACTGACGAGGGTCAACTAAGACTGAAACATATTTTCAATAAAATGTGGAACAAACATCTACTTTATTTACTCTGTAGAGTTTTGGTCCATCATCATCAACGAATTTTCAATATTATATCCAAGTTTAATTTGGGTTAAGATAGATAGTCACGAGAGGTTGCCTTTTCAGAGGGGGGGGGGGGGAGTTCACGTCATATCTTCTTATATTTTGCTTTTCTATTTGTAATTATATCCAATAAATGTCAAACCAGCAAAACATATTAGGCCCAAAGTGTGGCAACTCAAATGTCCCCATGAATGATTGTATGTGGAAAAAAATGTCGATTTTTTTTATTTTCAGAAGTCCAGAAAATCCGCAAAGTCCTAAAATAATTATAATTATTTTAGGACAGATCCAGGATATCCACTATCAAGCCCCCTCTCCCCTAAACGTTATCCACATGGCCGACCTGCAGAGGTTCTGCTCCAACATGTTACTGTAGAGGGTGTCCAGGTGTTTAGCCACAATCTTGTCCTGCTCCAATTCAACTTTATACGTATCTACCGCACTCTAGAAACAAAACAATAATTTAGTTCAATGTTATTACTGGATTACTCGATTACTGGAAAAATTTTCGCTGGGAGATCACTTTTGCGACATTTTCAGCGAGTCAATATATCTTGAAGTTAAACCAGGGATCTTGGCGCCCCTGACACCTTCACCAGGGATCTCGGAGAGGGGGAGCAGGGGGCGGAAGGGAAAAGGGGGCTTATAAACTTTGAATTGCTATAAGAAAAAACAAGCTTTCAGGAATTTAAAAAATTCCAAACTCTGATAAATAAAACGTAGTATGTCCAGACTAAAAACGGCTAAGAGATTTCAAAAAATTTATCAAGTAATTCAAAATTTCAATCTTTAACTTCATTTTCAAACTGGTAAAATAAAAGAATATGTTAAGGCTTTCGCGAAGCTGGATTTAGTCTTAAAAAGTGCTTATCATCCTGATACGTTTAATCCGCAACATTTTGGCTCCCTGGATCCGGATTCACAAAAATATGCGTATCCAAGATGCAAAATTATAACAAAAACCAAAAACACAAGTAAAAATTCTAATAAGAGATTAATAAAAACTACCTGGTCTCCAAATTGTTCAAAAAGAAGAAAAAGTTTAAACATTTAGTATTTGTCAAAAAAAATCAGTGAATCTTAGAGAAATGTTCAGGATCAGAATCCGGATCCGGATAAAAATTAGATGGATCCTAAGCACTGGTCTTCAAATGAAAGTTTTCCTCTCATGTTTAAGGTTAACTTTATTTTTGCAATTATTCTTTTTTATACCTAACTTAACTCTTTTTCATTTATAGAATGATTAACATTTTTTTTAAGTATTATGTTTTTAGATGGTAAAAATACATTCTTATAAAAACTCACAAAATTGAGTTGTCTCTCCCCCTCCCCAAAAAAAAGTCGGTTAGAAGAAGGTTTTAAAACACACAAGACTCTGTAGTATAAAAGCCGAGGTTGTGGCGGGTTGCAAATATGAATATTGAATATAAATCCCCAAGGAGTCTTATTACACAGATTCATTCAAAAACTAGCTCTGAAAGAGTTTAGAATATTCACCTGAAAATCTGCAAGGGATCTTGCTTTAGATGACTTTGCAACAGCTTTCATTGCTTCAAGATCCTTCCCAGAGTACCTTAGAGCAAGCTTCCCAGATACAAGGTTAGCAACCTGGAATACGGACATTAATCATTTAGAATTAATACCCTGAACTAGACACTTTTCGTTAAAAGAAGAGTATCCTGGATGCATGTATTCACAAGTATTTGTTTAGAAGATTTTACCTGGATGGGGGGGGGGGGGGGGGAAAAAA